CGCCTTCAGGGTGCTCACACCTGAGGTGTCCTCTATTTTGGGGGTAGTAGAAGCTGGATGAAGAACAAAAATTTGCTTGGTCCTAAGTTCCTGACTCAAGATATCATCATATTATGCATAAGGTCTACTTGAAATACCATGAAAACTAGCAAATAAGTAAGTAGTCAGCACTCCCATACCCTGGTCTCATAATTTTTCAGGTTAATCTTCTATTAACCAGAGGTCTCACTCTGTTGCCCGAGCTGGAATACAGTGGCACAATTACAGCTCACTGTAGCCTAAAACTCTTGGGCTCAAGTGGTCTTCCTGCCTCAGTCTCCTGAGTAGCTGGGATTTCAAATGTGAGATAGCTTTCCTGGTTTAGTTGAATATTAAAAAAAAAAAAATTTCACTTGAACCCGGGAGGCAGAGGTTGCAGTGAGTCGAGATCATGCCACTATACCCCAGTCTGGGCAATAGAGCAAGACTCCATCTCAAAAAAAAGAAAAAAAAAAAAGAAAAAATTTGTTAGACTATCTCCTAACAATGTCTTTGAAATCTTTATCTCCATCGAATGGCAAATAAGAAGAGTAACCAATGTAGAAGTGCCCATCAAGACAGAGAGAGGACTGGAACCTTACCTTCCAGTGACAGAATTTAGACAAGAACTTCACATTAAGCTATCTGAATCTGAGGATAACTTCTGAATCTAAGAGTCCTGCCTCTTACATGTATAATAATAAGGACCTTTTGGCTCACACAAAACCTGTCATGTGTATTTCTGTACACAGGAAGTAGAAAAAGGAAGTCACTATTAAACATTAAATGGACCTCTCTGGGGAAAATAAAATAACTGAAGACAACGGTCCCCCCGCCCCCTACCCAAAGCCTTTCATCCTTTCTTACTGTCTTAGTCTCTTTGGACTGTTACAATGAAGACCATAAACTAGGTAACTTATAAACAACAGAAATTGATTGCTCACAGTTCTGGAGGCCGGGAAGTCCAAGATCAAAGTGCCAGCAGATTCAGTGTCTGGTGAGGGTCCATTGACTGGTGAGGGTCTGCCTTCTTTTCTTTTTTTCTTTTTGAGACAGGGTCTCACTCTGATGCCCAGGCTAGAGTGTAGTGACATGATCATGGCTCACTGCAGCCTTGATCTCTGAAGCTCAAGTGATCCTCCTGCCTCAGCCTCCTGAGCAGCTGGAACTACAGTATGCAATACCACACCTGGCTAATTTTTTAATGTTGCCCAGGCTGAGGGTCTCCTTTCTGGTTCATAGATGGCATCTTACCACTGTGTTCTTACGTGGTGAAAGGGGTGAGAGACCTCCTGGGCCTTTTTTACAAATGCCACTAATCCTATTCCTGAGGGCTCTGCCCTCATGACCTAACCACGTCCCAAAGACCTCATTCTAATACTATCACCTTGGGTGTTCGAATTTAACGTATGAGTTTTGTGGAGGACATAAACATTGAGACCATACGTAGCACACACAAACTACAGTTTCAGAGTTAGAGCCCAGGAAAGCTCTTTCTGAACATACATTCACTCACTTATAATGGGATAGGCTCCGAGATGTTTACAAATGGATTTATTTTGCAGCCAAACATGAAATGCTGCAACAAGCTATGGAGGCTTTCTTTCAGGAATACATCAAACAGCAGCCTGAGATGAGGTTTCTCATTTCCTCAGCCAGCAGGGCTCTGGGCAGGCTGGGTCTAAGCTTCCATCTCTGAAGGTGAGTCACAAACATGAAAGGACATGGGCATTCATAAAAAGAGCACTGGGCCGGAAGTCAGGAGAATTCGGTTCTAATTTTATTCTGTCCCCAACCAGTCATTTTTATCTTGGCAAAGTAACTTATGCAATGGAGTCTCAATTTCTACTTTTGTGAAAAGGGAATAATGGGACTGTAGGATGGAAACAGATACACACTGAATGTCTACATGTAGAGATACTTTATGAGGA